ATTGCTTAGTAAAAATGAAGTACCTAGAACCCTTAGTCAAAGGCAACAAATCACAAAACTGGGGAGAAAGACATCTCTGGCTATGATGATTTCATCCAGCCATATTGGGAGGTCACTCAATACAGTGAGCAAGCAGAGAACAATGAGCAAGTATGGAACGATTCCACAGTTTAATTGGTTGTGTGTTGTTATTTTATTCAGAGGGAAAAGTCAAAACAAAAGAATAGAATGTGGAAAAAAAACATGAGTAGAATGTGAATACAAATCCCCATATCCCAGATTCTCTAACAAAGACTAAAACCAGATGCTAACTTTATTTCTTTAGAACAGATATAGATTTATGAAAAAATCAAGAAGCTAATACAGCCATGTGTCACTTAACAGTGAGGGTATGTTCTGAGAAATGGTCACTAGGTGATTCTGTCATTGTATAAGCATTATACAGAGTGCTTACACAAACCTAGATGGTATAGCCTAATGCCCCTAGGCTACAAAATTGGTCGGCATGTTACTGTACTGAATACCGTAGGAAATTAGAACACAATAATAAGTGTTTGTGTATTTACAAATACCTAAGCGTAAAAAGGTACAGTAAAAATACAGTATAAAAGATAACTGATACATCCATATAGGGCACTTACCATGAATGGAGCTTGCAAGACTGGAAGTTACTCTGGGTGAGGGACTGAGTGAGTGGTGAGTGAACCTGAAGGCCTAGCACTCACTGTACACCACTGCAGACTTTATAGACACTGTATGCTTAGACTACACTATATTTATTTTGAAAATAAAGTAATTGTACTACAATGTTACAATGGCTACAGTGTTATTCAACAATAGGGATTTTCTAGCTTCATTATAACCTTATGGGACTTTCTTCACACATGTGGTCCATCATTTCCTGAAATGCTCTTATGCAGCGCATGACCGTACAGAGTTCCCACATGCCCACCCTTGCACAGTTCTCACCATTATTAACATCTTCCATTAGTCTGCTATTTGTTACAAATACTGAACCAATACTGATACATTATTATGAACCAGAATCTACGGTTGATAAAGATTTCCTCAGTTTTTATCCAAAACCTTTTTCCCATTCCAGGTTCCCACCTAGGATACCACGTTACATTTAGTCATCGTATCTACTTAAACTTCTCTTGGTTATCACAGCTTTTCTGACCTTCTTCATTTTTTATGACTCAGATAGTTTTGAAAGGCAACAGTTAGGTAAACTGCAGCATGCTCCTCTTCTATAATGAAATTTTTCTGATATTCTTTTTTTTTTTTTAGATGAAGTCTTGTTCTGTCGCAGGTTGGAGTACAGTGGTGCGATCTCAGCTCACTGCAGTCTCCACCTCCTGGGTTCAAGCCATTCTCCTGCCTCAGCCTCCCAAGAAGCTGGGACTACAGGCACGTGCCACCAATTTCTTTCTATTTTTTAGTAGAGACGGGGTTTCACCATGACCAGATGGTCTCGATCTCTTGACCTTGTGATCCACCTGCCTTGGCCTCCCAAAGTGCTGGGATTACAGGCGTGGATATTCTTCTTATAATTGGATTGGAGTTACAGTTTACGAAGGAGGAAGATTACAAAGGTAAAGTGCTATTTTCATCAAACCATATCTAGGATACATACTATCAAAGTGTATCACTGTGGTTGACTTTGATCATCTAGGTGAGTAGTATTCATCACCTTTTTCCATCAGAAAGTTGCTGACTGACCCTTTCCACACTGTACTCTTTGGAAGGAAGTCACTATGCACTGTCCATACTTAAGGATCAGGGAATAAAGTGTCCCCTCCTTTAGTATAGAATATTTACATAAACTATTTAGAATAGCTCTGCATGAGTGATGTGTCTCTTCTCCCCCATTTATTAATTTTTTTCATGGCTCTCATTATCCATCATCCCTTTACTAAATTGTCCAATTATAGTATATATGTATAGCAGTATCAGAATTGTTAACTTATACTCCAAAGGGAAACAACTTTATCAGCTATAGAATAGTGCTTATATACTATATGTAGTTCCTTTTGCCTTAATTATATAGTTTATATATATATGGCTTTATTATATAGTTCATTTTGCCTTTAGTCTTATGGACTCTAGTCATTTCCAGAGTTACTTAGGTTAGTACCTTCCTCCCTCCATCTTTAGTGAAGCTGTTTCATACATTTATAGTACAGTTACATTGTCTTGTCACAGTCTGCATTTCTTTCTGGGATCCTCTAATTTCCAATACGATTTTTTGAAAATGTGTGCATACACTAAAGTTCACTTTTTGTACAGTAAAGTTCTATGGGTTTTGACAAATGCATAATGTTGTACACTTACCATTAAAGTATCATACAGAATGGTTTTACTACCCTGAAAATCTCCTGTTTTCACCTCTAATCCTTTCTCCAACCTCCTTGGTTCCCTGACAACCACTGATTTTTTTTTTATTTCCTCCCTTGAGACAGGGTCTCAGCTCTGTTACCCAGGCTGCAGTGCATTGGCATGATCTTAGCTCACTTAGGCTATGACCTCCCTGTCTCAAGCAATCCTCCCACCTCAGCCTCCTGAGTAGCTGGGACTACAGGCATACACTACCACACCTGGCTAATTTTTTTGTTTTTTATTTTTTGTACAGATGAGGTCGTGAACTCCTGAGCTCAAACAATCCTCCTGCCTTGGCCTCTCAAAACATTGGGATTACAGGCATGAGCCATCATTCCTGGTCACCACTGATCTTTTTACTATCCCTGTAGTTTGCTGCCCAAACTGGAATGCAGTGATGAGATCATAGCTCACTGCGATGTCACCCTCCTGAGCTCAAGCCATCCTTCTGCCTCAGCCTCCAGAGTAGCTGGGACAACAGACATGCACCACCACACCCAGCTAACTTTTAATTTTTTTGTAAAAACAGGTTCTCACTATGTTGCATAGGCTGATCTCAGACTTTTCTGGTCTCAAGCAATCATCCCACCCAAGCCTCCCAAAGTGCTAGGATTACAGAAGTGAGCTACCATGCCTGACTGATAGCAAATTTTTAAAATTACTTAATAATATTCCATTGTATGGATGTGTCCCAGTTTGATTATTCATTCACCTATTGAAAGACATCTTTGTTGTTTCCAAGTTTTGGTGATTATGAATAAAGTGGCTATGCAAATGTATGTGCAGGTTTTTGTGTAGACATAAATTTTCAAATCAATTTAGATATCTAGGAGCACAACTGCCAGATCAAATGGTAAGGCTATGTTTAACTTTATAAGAAACTGCCAAACTGTCTTCCAAAGTGGTTGTACAAATGAGGTTGCGTATCATTTTTGTAAGTCTATTTTCTATCTTGTGGTGAGATGTCTGTTCAGATCTTTCACCCATTTTAAAATTGGGTTTTATGTTCTCTTATTGTTGGGCTTTGTATATCTTGGATACAAGTCCCTTATCAGATGTGTGTTTTGCAAATATTTTCTCCCAGTGTATGGCTTGTCTTTTCATTCTCTTCATAGTCTTTTGCAGAGAACAAGTTTTAAAATTTTAATAAAGTCCAATTGATCATTTTTTCTTTCATAGATTATGGTTTTGGTGTTGTGTTTAAAAAGTCATCACCAAGCCCAAAGTCACCTTGATTTTCTGCTATGTTTTCTTCTAAAAGTTTCATAGTTTTGCATTTTATATTTAGGACTAGGACCCATTTAATTTTTGTGAAAGGTATAAAGTCTATGTCTAGATCATTAAAATTTTTCTTTTTGCAAGTGGACGTCAAATTATCCCATGCCCATTTGTTGAAAAGACTATTCTTTCTCCATTGACTTTCCTTTGCCCTTTTTTCAAAAATCAGTTGACTACATGTACATAGGTCTATTTTGGGGCTCTCTACTCTGTTTCATTAATCTATGTATCCATTCTTTCACTAATATCTTGCTGTTTTGATAACTGTGGCTTTATAGTAACTCTTGAATTTAGGTAGCATTTGTTCTCTGACTTCATTCTTTCTTCTTCATATTGTGGTGACTATTATGAATCTCCTACCTTTTCATATATATCCAGAATTTGTTAGTTGATATCCACAAAATAGCTTGCTTGCTGGGAATATGTTTGGAATTACATTTAATTTATAGATCACATTGGGAAGAATTGATATCTTAACAATATTAATTCTTCCTCTCCATGAACATGGAATATTTCTTCATATATTTAAATCTTCTAGATTTCTTTCATCAGCTGTGGTTGATTCCTAGTTTAATTCCATTGTAGTCAGAGAACATACTTTGTACTATTCTTTTAAATTGGTTAAGCTATGTTTTATGGCCTAGATTGTGGTCTATCTCAGTGAATGTCCCATGTGAGCTTGAGAAAGAATCTATATTCTGCTGTTATTGAATTAAGTATCGTATAAATGTCAGTTAGATCAATTTGATCTTTTTTCAGTTCAACTCTATCCTTGCTCATTTGCTGCCTCTAGATGTATTAATTACTTTTTAAAAATTGTGTGAAAATATTCTAACAGTGAGTTTACCTATTTTTCCTTTCATCTTTTTTTGCCTCACATATTTTGGTGCTCTGTTGTTACGTACATACATATTAAGTATTGTTATGTCTTCCCAAATAGTTGACCCCTTTATGTAATGTCCCTGTCCCCTGATAAATTTCCATGTTCTGAAGTCTGCTTCTATTGAAATTAACATAGCTACTTCAGCTTTTTTTTTAAAAATTATTAATGTCAGCATGGTATAGCTTTCTCTATCCTTTTGCTTTTAATGTATGTTTCTTGTGAATAACACACAACTGGGCTTTGTTTTTGATATCCACTCTGACAATCTCTCTTTTAACTGCTGTAATCAGACTATTCGCATTTAAAGTGGTTATTGATACAGCTGGATTAATATCTACAATGTTTATAACTGTTTTGTTTCTCACTTGACTTTCATAACTAATTTTGAATTTGTACTTTCATATTCTTTGTCTTAAACAGAACGCTTGCAGCCCCCTCAAAACCTGGAGCCACCACCTACCTTGGACACATTATATCGGTATATGATGGCAGAAAAGCTGCACATCAGTCTTGGCAGGCAGGGCAGGAGAGATGCAGGGCTTCACAGATGCGACTGTGCAACGCACAGATGCACTGGGTCTTTGCCTGGTGGGTTCAAAGCCTCTAGACGCTGACAAACGCTCCAGCCAATGAGTGGTTTCCCACAGGCCGACACGGAGGGCAAGGGGCGGGACTCCCTCCTGCCTCTCGCGGGCTGGGTTCGGTCTCCGCGAAGAGGCTGCGTTAGGCCCTGAGTGGGCGTGGCTTACGTGTCCGCAGGCTCTCCAGGCAGGCCTGGCAGGGGGGCCACGTTGCCATGACGACCGCGGCTGGGTCGCAGCAGACTCGGTTGGTGACTCCGGAGCGTCGAAGAGCGTGTACCTGTCGTTCGCTGTGGCTCAGTTTCCCAGTAATCCATGACAACAGCAGGGATAACAGGGTCCCCTGTCTTTTTTTTTGTCCGAATTCCTCGACTGGCGACCCCGTGTCCGGCAGGCTGCACCGCGCCGCGCGCACTGACTCGGGCCTGCGCGCGCGCCCCCTGGCCGGCTCTGGGGTGGGGAGGGGGCTTCGAAGATCCCCAGAAAACCGCCCGGCGAGCCACGAGCCCGCGGGCTGCAGGCTCCGCTTCCTCGTGGGGTGTTCACTTGGTATCAATGGGTTGATTTGCTGCCAGTTAGAAGCACCTTAAAAAGGGGCCGGGGGCCGTAGTGGGGGGCTTGTCTGAAGGAGGCTCTGGGCTTGCTGATCCGCGCAGCGGTTTGTCGCGCGGCTGCGGGGGAACGGCCCACGGCCGCGGTAACAGGGCTTCGTCTTCTTTGCAGAGCCATGGGCAGCAGGAAGAAGGAAATTGCCCTGCAGGTAAGCCTCAGGGGGCGCTAGCTTCCAGCATTGGGTTGGGGTCGGGCAAGAGGAGGGTGATTGGAGCGGGTTGCAGTATAAAAGTGTCATTCTGTTTGCCAGCAATACTGATGGTGTTCTCAAACTTGAGTGATGTACCCTTCTGTTTTAAAGGGACAAAACTTATCTTGGAGCCCCAGTGATGACACATTTTATGCAAACAAAATTTATGCAAACAAAATTGAGTAGCAGCTGTTTATATTTACAGTGCTTATACAACCACAAAACCTAAATATGCATTAAATAAAACTACAAACCAGGAAAATATGAATCAACATAATTCGATGTGACCATTATTTTGTTGTTGTTGTTGTTGAAACATAACTGCAGCTTGCACAGAGAATACGGTACAGGTTCTTTTGAGTTTGGGCATGAGTCTGTAACTGTGTGCTCTGTGGAGACCCAGTTTTCCCACCAGTGTTCTCATAAAATTTCACTTATTAACAAATATGTTTTGAGATATATTATGTGCTGCGCATTTGATATATAGTGTGCTTACTTCATTTGCACCTGGGACAAGTGAATTCAGAAGCCAGCAACTGCTCTTCTTCTTGGTGGTTGATTCTGAAGTGATGGTAAAAGCATGCAGGCATAGACCCTGGAATTGGGAGAGAGTGCTTTGTCATAGGAGATCATCTGGATGATCTGTAACATGGGAACATTTTAAAACAAACTTTACAATGTCTCATCGTCAGCTGGCTCCAATAAGATGCATACTCAGGCTACAGCGTCTCCTGGATAGTAGAGCTTTAGCGGTTTTGAGACATCTGGTTTCTCTTTTATTGTCCTCAGTGGGATCAGCAGTTTATGTGTGGAGTTCAAAAGCCTAGTGGTTTAACAAAGAGGAACGGGCAGGGAAAGCAGCATCACTCTAAGGGTAGTCCATACTGGGGGTGGGGGGGGGTGTGGCGTGGGGTGGAATATTTAGACTGGAAGTCAGAAGACCTGATGTTGTTCTTGTGTCCTCTAGAGCCGACTGTGTATTTGACTACATCACATAACCTCTCTGGGCTATAGCTTGCCCATCTATGGAATGAGGATGTTGTGTGAATTATCCCCAAGGGCCTTCTTCCAGCCTTGATATTCTAGGATTCTAGAGTTTGAAGGCACTTCATATGTGAATGTTCTGGGCAAAGTAAATTCTGAGCAACTGGTCATACCATTCATTGCTGTGTGACTCATTTCCTCAACTCCCTGGCCTCCATATCCTTTACGTAGACAGGAGGGATAATACATCACCTGCAGAGCTGTGATGAGACTTCTTTAGACACTTCCTGGATTGTCTGATGCGGTCTGTGGTGTCTCTAATGTTATTGTCCCGTATGATGGTCATTTCATGTGTTGATGCCCTAGATCTCCTATGGGGGTAATAACTTTTGTTAGCAACATTGTTATTTTTTCATGTGTATTACTCAGGCTCTAAGTACAATGCAGTACTCAAAGTAAGTGCTCCCTCCTGCTGAGGGAGGAGATTGAGTGGCCTCCCCTCCTCTCTTACATTGAAGCATCTGTGTAAAAGTCACCTCTCTATAAGGTAAACCCCTTGAAAGTTGGCTGACCCAGGAACCTTGTCCTCTCTCTCAGCAAGGTTAGTCAGGGTTCCATTTGTGACTGAGACAGGCAAAAATCACAAGGGCAGTCTGGTTAAAAGGTGCCACACATTCCCTATTCATTCCCTACCAAATGCAGGGCTTAGTGAAGTCCAGATAGTTCCTACACTGTTCTGCTCCTGCCCAGCTCCCAGAGCTAAGATTCTTCAACTGCCCAGAGTCCTGGCCCCAGAGCTAGTGGGGCTCACTCTATGACAGGGGTGGGCCACAGAGAGTTGCTGGTGACTTACAGCTGAGCCTCTGGGTAGGGGTGGGGGCCCTTCTGAACGCTTCTGTCACTTTCCTCAGGACTGTAATTGTGGGCCCAGGGGTATGTCAGTCCAGATCTCTCACTTCATTTAGGGCACCAAGAAGACTTTTCTGGGTTTCTTTTTCTTCTACTTTTCATTGAAACTAAAAAGTAAGGAGTATGCTTCCTTTAGAAGAAAGAATTTTTTGAGACAATCTCACTCTGTCCTATCACCCAGGCTGGAGTGCAGTGGTACAATCTCAGCTCACTGTGACCTCCACCTCCCAGGATCAAGTGATTCTCATGCCTCAGCTTCCCGAGTAGCTGGGATAACAGACATATGCCACCATGCCCAGGGCAACTTTTGTATTTTTTTTTTTTTAAGTAGAGACAGGGTTTCACCATGTTAACCAGGCTGGTTTTGAACTTCTGGCCTCAAGTGATCTGCTTGCCTTGGCCTCCCAAAGTGTAGAAAGTGTTGGGATTACAGGCGTGAGCCACCACGCTTGGCCAAAAAAGGGACTTTTAATAGAGGATTTTCAGGTGTTACATGTTTCTTGCCCTTATTGCCAATAATACATCCTATCTTTTTTTAATGGGACACAGACCTTACAATACCTGTATTAAGAACAGTAGTAGGCCAGGTGCAGGGGCTCACACCTGTAATCCCAGCACTTTGGGAGGCTGAAGGCGTATCACTTGAGGTCAGGAGTTCATGACCAATTTGGCCAACATGGTGAAACCTCGTCTCTACCAAAAATACAAAAATTAGCCGGGTGTGGTAGCAGGTGCCTCTTATCCCAGCTACTTGGGAGGCTGAGGCAGGAGAATTGCTTGAACCTGGGAGGAAGAGGTTGCAGTGAGCCACGATCATACCACTGCACTCCAGCCTGGGTGACACAGGAAGACTCTGTCTCAAAATAACAATAACAAAAACCAGTAGTAATTTTGGTGATCTTTTAATTCATATAGTTTCAAAGTAGCTCACCACAAAAATATGTTAATTACAAAGGAAAGGAGGATAATTTTACAGACCACAGGCCTGACAGACTACGTTAATCCAGTGATCAAAGCGATCATCATCAGTAACAGGCAGATGGAAATTGTGTATCACCTGCTAGGTACCAGCATCTGCTACTCACATGATCTTCAGCTTCTCCAACATGCCAATCAGTCCAGCCAATTTCAACCAATCCAAATACACACAGTCTGAATCCAGTCAGAAGGAAACATCAGATATAGGCCAACTGAGGGACATTCTACAAAATAACTGGCATGCAGTTTTCAAAGTGTCAACATTGTGAAAATAAGAGAAAGGCTAAAGAATTCTTCTGGACTAAAGAGACTTACAAATAAATCTAGCATATGTTTCTGACTAGCTCCTTTGCTGCTCAGGACATTATGGGATAAATAGGAAAACTTGCATTCTATCTAAGGATTAAAAGTTCGCAATATGTCAGTGATTTTTTCCCCTGATTTTGATTATCATATTGTGTTATGTAGGAATAGTATATTCAGGGGTAATGAGATAAAAAGCTGTAACTTACTCTCAAATACCTAAAAACAAAAACCTAAATCTTCTTTATACTGTACTTGCACACTTTCTGTAAGTTTGAAATTATTAGAAAGCAAAAAACATTATACAGAAATGTTTACTATTGGCCGGGCATAGTGGCTCACGCCTGTAATCCCAGCACCTTGGGAGGCCAAGGTAGGCAGATTACTTGAGGTCAAGAGTTCGAGACCAGCCTGGCCATATGGTGAAATCCCATCTCAACTAAAAATACAAAAATTGGCTGGGCATCGTGGTGGGCACCTGTAATCCCAGCTACTGTACTTAGAAGGCTGAAGCAGAAGAATTGCTTGTACCCGGGAGGCAGAGGTTGCAGTGAGCTGAGATCACGCCTCTGCACTACAGCCTGGGAGACAGAGCAAGACTCCATCTGAAAAAAAAAAAAAAAAAAAAAAGATTTTTGCTATGAAGAGAGATAATATGTATTTCTCCTTGTATTTCATATTTATAAAACCAGAACTCTGTGGATAAGAAAAAAAAAATGTGAGTGAATGGCAACAAATTCAACTCAATTCTGATACTGAGTGAAAACACAAATTTCAAAATGAAACCTAAAGTTTGATACATTTATGCACATTTTAAGGACACAAAACAATTTATATATTGTTTCTGGACAAATAACATGTAAAATAATTTTTTAGATGCCCGAGACTAGTACACATCATTCTTAAAGTAGTGTTTTTTTTCTGAGTAGGGAAGCAGGGAGAGAAGGAAGGAGAAAAAGACAGGGGAGAGAAGATAACTTGAACTGAACTTGTAAGAATTTCAGAGATAGAAAGAGAGAAATCTAGAGCAAATAGATTGAATTGTTTCCCTGCCTGTGCCCTCAGTAATATGGCATTTGATCCTCTTTGGCTTTAGGTCAACATCAGCACCCAAGAGCTTTGGGAGGAAATG